TATAGGTTCTCCCCTCCCACCTCAATTCCTGCCCGAGCCACATAATGCCAATGAGCATGCCTAGGAAAGAAAAGCTTCCCCTTCATCCTCAGAATCTACTGAAAGAAGCTCTTTCTCTCCTGTAGAGAGTGATCCGTGAAATTGTGAAATTTTGTTGCCAAGGTGGAAGTAGCTTGAGGATGCCTCATCCTGGAATAGAGCAGAACTCAGAGAGCCAGAGGACTGTGCCCATGGCCTGATGGCAGATACCTTGATCAGATATCTTGAGTTTTTTCTTTTTTTTTTCATTTTGGAAGGCAGTACAATCCCTCCTCCCTTTTATTTTATTTTATTTTATTTTATTTATTTTTGTCAGTCGTGGGGCTTTAATTCTGGACTTGGGCACTGTCTTTGGGCTCTTCAGCTCAAGACAAGTGCTCTACCGCTTGAGCCACAGTGCCACGTCTAGTTTTCTAGTGGTTTAATGGAGATAAGAGTCTCACGGACGTTCCTGCCCGGACTGGCTTTGAACTGCGATCCTCAGATCTCAGACTCCTGAGTAGCTAGGATTACAGGCGTGAGCCACCAGCACCCGGCCTCCCTCTCAATTTAAGTGGGTAAATTTTGATACTATTTAGAACATTTCATTTATTCTTTTAGATATACTTATGTAGCTACTACTTGAAAGTTAGTAATGATATAGTTTATAGCTAAGCTAGAGAAACATAATGAAATGATTGGGTTAAAGTGTGACATGTATAATGAAGTAGTTCTCATAGGAAGAAGTGATGGAATAAAGGTTGAGTATAAGAGTTGCTTTTTATTCTTTTGGGGTTTAGGTTTTGCTCTTGCAAGCTGAGAAGTGAACCTATGTTCTGAGGATGGGAGTCACTCACTGTACCACTAAACTACACCTTCAGTTCAAAAAGTTTTATTTAAGTTTGTCAGTGATTAGGTATATCTAAGTTTTTGTTTGTTTGTTTTTTGTTGGTCAAGGGGCTTAAACTCAGGACTTGGGTGCTGTCCTAAGCTTTTTCTCTCAAGGCTAGAGCTCTACCACTTTTTTTTTTCTCTCTGTTGGTCATGGGGCTTGAACTCTGGGCCTGGGTGCTGTCCCTGAGCTCTTCAGCTCTACCACTTGAGCCACAGTGCCACTTCTGGCTTTTTCTGTTTATGTGGTGCTGAGGAATCGAACCCAGGACCTCATGCATGCAAGGCAAGTAGAGTTACCACTGAGCTACTTTCCCAGCCCTGCACTACCATTTTTGAGCCACATCACCACTTACAGTTTTCTGGGGGGTTAAATAGAGATGAGTCTCATGGACTTTCCTGCCTGGACTGGCTTTGAACTGTGATCGTCAGATCTTTCAGTCTTCTGAGTAGCTAGGATAACAGGTATAAGCCACTTGTGCCTGGCCTGCCCTCCCTCCCTCCTTTCCTCCCTCCCTTCCTGCTGGGCACCAGTGGCTCCTGAATATATTCCTAGCTATTCAGGCACCTAAGGTCTAAGGACCTTGGTTCAAAGCCAGTCTAGGCAGACTAAGAGACTATTACTTACAATTAACCAGCAAACAGCCAGAAGTGGAGGTTTGGCTCAAGAGGTAAATCGCCAGTCTTTTGGAGAAAGGAAAGCAAGAATAAGAGGCTATGAGCCAGATACTGGTTGCTCATGCCTGTAATCCTACCTACTCAGGACAAAGGTTTGAAGCCAGCAGATAAATCCTAGACTTTTATCTCTAATTAATCAGCAAAAAGCCAGAAGTGGAGAGGTGGCTCGTATATAGAAAGCTAAGTAGGAGTGAAAAGCTAAGTAGGAGCACAAGACCCTGAGTTCAAGTCCCAGTACTGACGTGTGCACACGCCTGTGCGCGTGCACCCACACACACGCACACGCACGCACACACACACACACACACACACACACACACGATAAAGATTTGTTCAAATTACTAAACTTTGGGATTTGTTTATTTTATTTATTATGCTGGGGATTGAACTCAGTACTTGTGCTGGACAAATGTTCTACCCCTGAACTAAACCCTGACCCAGTAATTTTGAGAAGTAGTAGTAGAGATGGAAGGATATGAAGGAACCAACAGAGTGGAGACACTGACTGGATAGAGGATAAGATTATAAGTAGAGACCCCTTAGATTGAAAATGAGCTTTACTGGAAGTGTGCAAGTAGGCTTTGAGAGAAAAAGACAACATGATATATTACTAAATAGACATTCTGTGTTGAAGAAAAAAACTTAATGGGGAGGGATAATTCTACTGTACAGTAAGCCTTATAGTTTAGGAATGCTGATGCAGTTTAGGAGTCTTATGTATTTAGAAATTGAGGGGAGGGAAATGAGGAAGGGGCAAAAAACAAAAAAGAAAGTAATTGTGGAAGTACTACTGCTGGCATGTATCACCATACCAGCAAAACACTTGTTTTGTTTTAGATTAGTTTGGTCTTCACTATGACCTTTTGAATTGCATCACACTTCCAACTCAAGTAGATACGTGTGTGTGTGTGTGTGTGTGTGTGTGTGTGTGTGTGAGTTTTAGTCCTGAGACTTGAACTCAGAGCCTTAACTCTGTCTCTGAGCTTCTTTTGCTCAAGACTAGTGCTCTACCACTGGAGCTACAGCTCCACTTCTGGCTTTTTAATGGGTAATTGGAGATAAGAGTCTATGGACTTTCCTGCTCAGGCTGGCTTCAAACCTAAATCATCAGGTCTCAGCCTTGTGAGTAAGTAGGATTATAGGCATGAGTGAAAGGCACCCAGCTTTCAAGGAGATTTTAAAGCAAGACCCATTCTACCTCTCATTGTTTGTAAATGGATAGAAATCTGACTCTGAAGACCTGTGTTGTCACAGCTGTTTTTTTTAAAGATGAAGGCTAAGATTACCATACTTTGGTAGGAAGTAAGACTACAGTATTTAAGGTGACCTTGTTATATATGTATTGTCAGTAACTACTATAAAGCTTTCTAACAACTTAGGATACCTATGAAAATAAGACATTATAATTTCAAAGTGTTTCAGTAATAGAAATTTGAATGTAAAAATTCACTATGATATAAGTTTAATTATATCAAGACAACAAATAGTCCCTTTGGTGATTTACTGAATTTAGGAATGAAAATACTGTTTATATGTCTTTTCAAATACTTCTTAGAAGAACTTAAAATACTCTATTTGTTCTCCTTTTTGTGTGCATTAAAAATATTTGTTTAATATATGTACACATCCATATGTCAACTCATGTTTAACTCAGGAACTCAGAAAACTTGCAAACTTGAAATCCTTTATTTACATCTAGCATTAGTGAGGTCACAGAACAGATTTGAGGAGCTGGTAAGAAAGTTACTGATTAGAATTTAGGATGTCTAGCCAAATAACATTGGTATTTATGATGATTCAGTTAGATCAGTCTGTTGACACTGATGCAAAATGAGGTAATGAATTTGGATACATATATAGTGCCACAGTAAGAAGAAAGTTAAGCTTTTGAAGATGACAGTGGAACAAATCCCAATACTATAGAATAGTTTCATCTGTAAGAAATTAACCATTAAGAAATTTACTCAGGGGCTAGGAAGGTAGCTCAGTGGTAGAGTGCTTGCCTTGCATGCATGAGGCCCTGGGTTTGATTCCTCAGCACCACATAAGCAAAAAGAAAAAAGCCGGAAATGGCGCTGTGGCTCAAGTGGTAGAGCGCTAGCCGTGAGCTAGCTGAAGAGCTGAGGGACAGCGCCCAGGCCCAGAGTTCAGGCCCCATGACCGGACCCCCCCCCCCAAAAAAAAAGTGCCAATATATGGTTTCCACCAGTAGTCATCCTGATTCTCTGATTCTCGTTTCTTCCTTTCTCACTCTTGGCGGTAATAGGGTTTGAAATCAGGGCATCATGCTTGCTAGGTAGATGCTAGCCAGCCCTGTTTGCTTTAGTTATTTTTCAAATAGGATTTGTATTTTTGCTCTGCCCTGCCTGGACAACCATCATCCTTTCTACACATGTGTAGCTAGGATGACAGAAGCATGCCACCATACCCAGCTTTACTGCACTGCTTAAAAACACACCACACATTTTCTGGGCACCAATGGCTCATGTGTGTAATCCTAGCCACTCACAAGGCTGAGATCTGAGGATTTTTTCCAAGCCAGCCTGGACAGGAAAGTCCATGAGATTCTTAATCTTTAGTTAACCAGCAAAAGGTGGAGGTATGGCTCAAGTAGAGTGCCAGCCTTAATTTAACTTGGGACATTACTGTTACTTTAAAGTTTCAGAAGTAAGTCCTAGTGTAAGCAACAAAGACTGACTCTGGTTGGTTGGCTTAAGTAGAATAAAGCTTACTGGTTGAATATTGAGTGGTTTACAGAATCATTTAACAGGCCTTAGAAAAGGTACATGAGCATGGAGAGAGTACAGCCAGGGAGACCATTACTGTTGTCTGTACTGAACAGTGACTGGGTCATATGGATTGTATTGGTCATTCCAGATCACCACTGGTTTTGTTGTTCTCTGAATTCATATGTTGTCTTTACTATTTTCTCTGCTTTTCTGTCCTACTAGCTTCCAAATTCTAAATCTTTGATGAGTGTTTTCATAATATAATCATATTTTATTATGTCTTATGCATAAGTTACTATTAGGATTAATATTTCATGTTTTGGAAATTAAGGATCATAGCAATTATTTGTGCCTATAAGTTTTATTAATCTATATAACTTGTATATCCTAGAATACTCATGTTGATTTGTAAATTTTATTTTCTAATTTTTTGTTATTGTTTTTGTTTTGTTTACCTGTCTTTGGGAGGGTAAGGGGGAGCACAAAAATGGAGGGACAAAGGGTAAGCAAATGCAGCAGTGGTATTCACTAGACATGATGTTGAAAATGAACAATACTTGTGGGTGGGGCCTGGAGGGGAAAAACTGTGACATTGTCCAAAAAGAAGTGTACTCATTACCTGACATATGTAATTGTAACCATTCTGTACATCACCTTTATTCTAATTATTTTTTATTCTTACAGGCTGCTGAATCAGGAATAATAAAAGTTAAAACAATAGCTGCAAGAAACTCCGAAATTTTGGCAGGTAATTTTTTGCATTAAATTAAATTTTTTGCATTAATTCAGTAATTAATGAGAAATTGACTAATAGTAGACTACATTAGTTTTCTGGAGCATCTTTCTTCTGTTATTTTTTTTTGGGGGGGGGGGTCCAGTTGTGGGGTCTGAACTCTGGGCCTGGATGCTGTCCCTCAGCTCTTCAGCTCAAGGCTAGCACTCTACCACTTGAGCCACAGTGCCACTTCTGGCTTTTTTTCTTTTTGCTTATGTAGTGCTGGAGAATCAAACCCAGGGCCTCATGCATTCAAGGCAAGCGCTCTCCCACTGAGCCACCTTCCCAGACCCTCTTCTGTTATTTTTATGCTATAGAATATATGAATGACTCCAATTTGTGAACTGATTACTCAGATGAGGGCTATTACTACCCTGAAATAAGAAACTTTAAAACTACTAATTCCTGAAAGGCAAGAATATTATTCTACTGTCATCTTTGTTGTTTCCTCCACCTCCTGTCATTTAACAAGGACAGATCCCTATATCCTAAAGCATTCAATTAGTATTTGTTCCACTGAATTGAATGAAGCACTGATTCTTACTCTTTTTTTCAAGGTCTATTTTATCTTTAATATAATACCAGGAGTCCATAATGTATTTTAGATTTAGTAGTACCGTATGAATTTTAAGTCCTGGGCGTAAGACTGTGGAAAATGAACTATGCATGTTCGGGAACAGGAGGGGGGAAGTGAAGAAAGGGGTAACATTGTCCAAAAAGAAAAGTACTCATTACCTAACTTATGAAACAGTAAACCTTCCATACAATACCTGAATAATAATAATAAAATTTTATTTTAAAAGAATTTTGTTTTTTTTAGCCAGTCGCCGGTGGCTCATGTCTATAATCCTAGCCACTCAGGAGGCTGAGATCTGAGGATCACAGTTCAAAGCCAGCCCAGGCAGGAAAGTCCTCCGTGAGACTCTTATCTCTAATAAACCACTTAAAATGGAAAGTGGTGCTGTGGCTCAAGTGGTAGAGCACTAACCTTGAGCTGAAGAGCTCAAGGACAGTGCCCAGGCCCAGAGTTCAGTCCTATGACTGACAAAAAAAAAAAGAATTTTGTTTTGATTAATTTTTCTCCCCAGTCCTAGGGCTTGGACTCTGGACTTGGGTGCTATCTCTGAGATCCTTTTGCTCAAGACAAGCACTCTACCACTTGAGCCACAGCATCACTTCCACCTTTTTCTGTAATTATTTGGAGATAAGAGTCTCACAAACTTTCCTTCCAGGATTGGCTTTGAACCATGATGTCAGATCTCTACCTCCTGAGAAGCTAGGATTACAGGCATGAGCCACTAGTACCCAGCACTAAAGTTGATTTTCAAGGAAGAATTTTCATGAATTTCTTGGCATCTTTTTTCCACTCAGTTCTACTGTCTCTGGTGCCTTCAGTTCTTGACATCATAATGAACATAGTAAAGAGGGAAAGGGCATTTTTTGGTGAGAGAAAAGGAGAATCTGTTATATGTTAAGAGTCTCGAGGGGAAATGTTTTATACCAAGTAGAGATGCAAAGAGGTTAAGTTACTTGCTTGAGGTCACTTACATAGTAGAACCAGAAACAAATACAAGAGGTGAAAACCTGTATTCTTCCTAAAAGTATGCTGCCATGGTGTTTGGAGATTTCCATACTAGCTACTCTCCCAAGTGTTTGTACCTTTGCTTACTATACCTATCCTTTAGTCTGCATGAATTTCCAGTTCCAGTAGTACGTTTGATTTCAACTGGCAAGGGAGAAAAGCTGTCTTACTAATTTATACAAAATCTAAACAGTGAACAATCAACTTAATACTCAAAAACTTTGTATTTAGGGCTGGGAAGGTAGCTCAGTGGTAGAGTGCTTGCCTTGCATTCATGAGGTCCTGGGTTCGATTCCTCAGCACCACATAAGCAGAAAAAGCCAGAAGTGGCACTATGGATCAAGTGGTAGAATGCTAGCCTTGAGCTTAATAGCTGAGAGACAGCATCCAGGCCTAGAGTTCAAGCCCCAAGACCAACAAAAAACAAACAACTTTGCATTTCAAGAAAAATAGGCTATCAGTAGACCCCCTAAGTTGTGAGATTTAAAAGTGTTGCAAAATGCAGTAATAATGATTTTTAGGGATAGTTCAACTGAAGGGATAAGAATGTCTACTCAGCTTTGAATTTGGGGATACTTCTTTTTCTCAATGACATGTTTCTCACAGCATCTTCTTGGTTTTCAAGTCTATCAAAAACATCAAATCCTTTGCTAACATTTTTTTCACAGCAGTAAATAATACTGTGTCCATATTGAAGAGTGAGTAAATGTGGGTAAAGGCACGAGGTGTATTGAGGTTGGGAGGGTGGAAAGTAGGTTTGGGAGGTGCATGTTGGGCAGGTGAGCTAATAAGAGAAAATAGATGGTTAAAGATAATTTGAAAAGCAGGGCACCAGTGGCTCACACCTGTAATCCTAGCTACTCAGGAGGCTGAGATCTGAGGATCTTGGTTCAAAGCCAGCCTGGGCAGGAAGAGGCTGTGAGACTCTTATCTCCAATTAAAAAAAAAAACAACAAAAAACAAAAGCCAGAAATGGCACTGTGGCTCAAGTGATAGAGTGCTAGCCTTGAGCTGAAGAACTGAGGGACAGCGCCCAGGCCCAGAGTTCAAGGCCCACAACTGCGGGGGGGGGGGGGGGGGGGGGGGAGGGGGGGGAAGGGGGAGAAGATAATTTGAGACTTTTATGTGCTGATCAGATTAGATATCAATGTAATCAATGATAATAGCAACTTATTCTCCAATAAGAGGAGGTTTTTTTTTTTATTGATTCTATAGTTGACGGAGGGTAAAAGATTAATTTCTTCAAAGGGTCATCATTTGTTCTAGTGTTCTATATTAAGTAAGAGGTCCAATTAGTTTATCTTAAGGAAGAACAACACATTTTTGCCTAGTCTCTGAGTTTTTAATATATTGATGAACTATTCATTTTATTTTAATCCAGTTAGCTCTTCAGTTCAACTTGGAACAGATTTTTATGCACATACAGTGTTCAGTAATTAATGCTTTAATGTTCATAGTTTTGAAATGTATACTTTATCCTTTTTCCCCCCTTTTTTCCAGTGCTGGAGTTTCAACTCAGGGCCTCACACTTTCAAAGAAAGCTATTACTTGAGCCATACACTAGCCAATGTGAAGTGAAGCAAATGCTTCACTTATCTTGTACTTTTTGGCTGGGCTGGCCTAGACTGCAATCCTACCTATAATCCCAGATAGCTGGGATTTAACCATGTACCACCATGCCCAATTCGTTTGTTAAGATGATACTTTTGCCTGACTTTTTACCTGACCTGGCCCTGAAGTATGATCTTCCCAATCTCTCCTCCAGAGTATCTGAATTATAGGTACTCAGGCATGAGCCACCATGCTTGGTCCTATCCTAGAAGTTTCTGGCAAGTATTTAGAGCAGTTGATTTCTTAAAAAAAAAAAAAAAAAATACAAATTTGTACTGCATCTTGAAAATTAAAGACTCTTAAGAATAAATTCAGTTGGCTAGCATGTAGTCCTAAATTGCAGTAAATACTGAGAAAAAAAAATGGTTAATTCCTATTTCCTGAAAAATATTTTTTTAAGTGCTGGTACTGAAACTCAGGACTTTGTGCTTTCACTCAGCTTACTCAGTCATGGCTTACTCTCTACCACTTGAGCCATGCCTCCTAGTCTGGCTTTTCTGCTGGTTTATTAGAAATGAAGTCTCATAATTTTTCTTACCAAACTGTCTTCAAACTGCAATTCTCAGATCTCCGCCTCTTGAGTAGCCGGGGTTATAGACATGAGCACTGGTACCTACGAACTGTTTATTTACTTCTTTACAGTTGTCTCTCTCCCCCTCCCCTGAGAAGTTTAGACTCAGAACTTTGTGCTTACTAGGCAAGTATTGTATTTTTGAGCCTTGTTGTTAGTCCTTTTGTTGGTTTTCTTTTTTGTTTTTTTGTCATTGTGGGGCTTAAACTCAGGGCTTGGGGCTCTGTCCCTGAGCTTTTTTGCTCCAGGCTAACACTCTACCACTTAGAGATACAGCTCCACTTGAGTTTTCTGGTGGTTAATTGGAGATGAGTGTCTCCCATACTTTCCTGCTCTGGCTGGCTCTGAATCGCAGTCCTCAGATCTCAGCTTCCTGAGTAGCTAGGCTTGTAGATGTGAGCTTACTACTACCTACTGGCTACTGATTATTTTTGAGATAGTGTCTTGCTTTTTGTCCAGGCTCATTTCTGGACTATGACCCTCCTGTTTTATGCTTCTGCCATAACTAAGATGACAGACAAATTCTACCACACCCATCTTCTTCCATTGAGATGGAGTTTCATAAATATTTTTGCCCAAACAGTCTGGAACCCATGATTCTTTCTCAGTCTCACACATAGCTAGCTGGGATGACAGCCACATACCAAAACTCCCAGCTCTTGATTGAAAGAGACCTCACACAGGTTTTGCCAGACTGGCCTTGAACTTGCAGCCTCCAGAGTAGCTAGGAGTAGAGGCGTGAGCCACGCACATGACTACTTCAAAGTCCTTGAGATAATGAGAAACTACTTCTGTACTGGATGTAAAAGATGCAATGGATATCAAAGATACTAAATAATTGAAGGCTCTCAGTGGAGACAGGATGTTGAATTCTCCTGTGTCCCTATTTATTCAGAAAATTATAGTTATTGTAAAAATCATTCTTAGTATGAATTAGTCTAATTGATAGGATACTCAGTATAGATTTCTAGCCAATTTTAGTTTTCTTAGAATTATTTTCCAAGGAAGACCATTTACTCTGCAGAATAAATTTTTGTTTTACATTTCTTCTTTAAGCGTCTTACTTTAATGTTTACTTTCTTCGTTTTCAGTGCTATCATGAATGCTGACATAAGTGGAATGGTAAGCCAGATAATGTCAGCATCCACTCAGATACCCAGACCATTATCTCAGAATTTCCTTTCTTTTTAGAGACACAACCACTAATGA